CGGCCGGGGCGCTGCTGCGGTTCCTGTACGGCGCCCACACCCACGTCCCTGCAGGGCTGCGCCCCCAGCTCGGGGCTCTGGCCGCCAGGTTCGTACCCGAAACACCCCACAGATCCCTCACGCTGTGCTCCCCCAGCCTGCTGTCTGCCCTCCTGGGTCTGGGGGCTCCAAAATTCCGCAGCCCTCTGCTTAGGTCTTCAGTGAGACTTGCGGGTCAGAGCTCGCTGCCCGCTCCTTTTCCAGGAGTCGTTCCTCAGGCTCCATCTGTGTGAGGATTTCTGGGTTCAGCGTGTGCTTAGCAGAGTTCTGCCAAGGGTTTTGTGTCAGGAGGTTTATCAGTGTTGGCCACGAGCTCCTCTGTGTGGTTCCCAAAGTGTTGCACTTAATCCCAGCAACTCCTGCAGCACGGGTGGGATGCTCAGAACTCTGTGTTGTGTCAGCCATGCTCTTGGTCTAGCCATGAGCTAAAGACCTTGAAATAGGAGCAGTTGCTGAGATACTGGGGGGAAGTGGTTGGGTCCTGCCAAAATGTCTGTACAGAGGTGCCCAAAAAGCCATGAAGGCTGCACATAACAGATGTTGCCCAGCCCCAGCCCTTCCGTGGGACTCTCACCAGGGCTAGTGGCAAAAGGGTTTCAGTGTCATCAGGTAGCTGTTCAGTCTCTCATAAAAAAGGAAGAGCGAGCCTGATGCTTTCATGTGAGTGACTCCTGGAAAAGGGAATTCCAAATTTTATTAGTATCCTGGATCTTGTACATCTTAGGAAGCCAGCAAATTATTTACAAGGCACACAGGAGTGATCAGGCAGCCAAGTGGTGAAGAACTACTGGAGAAGGAAAATACTAACATCATTTTTGTGTCCTTGCAGGTTTGGTGTGAAGGAACTGATGGCAATATGTGAAAACAACACGGGAGAAAGTCAGGTGTCTTCTGGAGTGGATTCAGAAGATGATCTTATCTCTGTGAGGGATGACAAAGAATGTGAGGACAGGGCTGAGAACTTCCAGGACCTCTTGAAGTCAGTGTGGGTGGGTGAAGATGAGGAAGAAGTAGCTATGCTGAGCCCTGAATGCCAGAAGGAAGATGACAATGGGGTGGGTGAACAGGAGCTGGAGGAAATCTATGAGTTTGCTGCGACTCAGAGAAAGATGGTTCAAGGTGAGCCAGAGGTGAGTGAGGAAACAGATTGCAGCATCTGCAGTGACACTGAGACAGCCCACAGTCCAGAGCAGCAAACTGAGGGAGAAGAGTTAAAGAGATCTGAATCTGCTTCAATAAGCAACAGCTTCAAAGATTTGAGGGATGACAATGATGTGGAAAGATCTAAATGTAATTCCTCTGCACATGAAGAGAAAGTGCAGAATATAAATAGGTGTGAGAGCATGAATGATCCACAGACTGCTTTTGTGCCTCACCACAGTGAACCTCAAAACTGGGACGTAGCACCCCATGGTGCCACTGCTAAGGAAGGAGAGCCTGTTAGATGTGAAGATGTGAAGGCTTCCAAGTCATCTCAGGTCTCACAGGATGAGGTAGATCACTGTGGAAAACACTCTCCAAGCTTCCACGGAGATACTAATACAAATGAAAGTTATGAATGCTTGTTTCCTGCAACTCAGGGAGGTTGCTGTGAGCCTTGCCTGGTGGGAGAAGT